AAACGTGACGTCCTGGGAGGACAGAACACGACGCGAGGTGGGGTGGTAAAACTGCCAACCAGGCGCGTCAGGGGGAAAGCCGAGGAAGACGCAAGGAACAGCACGGGAGGACAGCTTGTCCGCAGACAAGTCTCGGACAAAAGCTCGAGATCCCCAGACACGGAACCCAGACGCATCACCAACCTTCCCCGTCCACCGCAGAGTAGGGGAGGTCTCCGGCAGGGAGACCCGGGGCTGAAGCTTGATCTGATGCACCGCGTACTGAATCGCGAACGGCCACAGAAAATGGGGAGCAGCCGCATGGATCATGGACGTACGAGCGACATCCATGACCATGCCAATGCGGCGCTCAGCAATCCCATTTTGCTGTGGAGAGGTCGGAAGCGTGAACGTCTGGCGGATGCCCTTCGCACGACAGAAGGCTCGCAGAAGGTCGGAGGAAAACTCTCCGCCTCTGTCGGAGTGCAGACGCAGAACAGGAAAGTCCGAGCCGAAACGCTCTCTGAGCTGGAGACGAGCAACGCGGATCCAGTCGATCAACACCTCAGTGACCTCACCCTTGCTGCGCAAGGGGAAGACAGTGGTGTAACGCGAGTAGTCGTCAACCACCAGCAGGAAGTAACGCTCGTGACCCTGTCCACGGACGCGGGCTGGGCCCCACACGTCCATGTGAAGAGTCTGCAACGGAGCCTCTGTCGGGGGAAACTCGGAGGAGTGAGGAGCGGCGCGCTGCCGCCCCTCGACGTAGGGAACGCAGGTAGGGGCAGGCCCCGGGGGAAGGGGAGGGAGGGACCGGGGGAGACCAGAGACAAGGACACGGGAGGCCATGCCTCGGAGACGAGGCAAGGAGGGGTGACCAAGGCGGTGGTGCCAGAGGAGGGTCTGGTGGGACAGGAGGCGACACGAGCAGGGGGCAGACTCAGGACCTGACCGAGACGCTGCAGCAAACACCTGACTCGACGCAGCTACCTGACCAGACGCAGCAACCGGAGGAGACTCTGTGGTCAGTGTGTACAGGCTCGACCCCGGTCGACGGGTAAACGAGGCCAAGTGGCGGCCCGTCTGAGCACACGTGCAGTGGGTCACTCGCTGACCTGCAGGAGTGAACTGGTCAACTCCGGCATCCTGAAGGTCAGCACCACTCACCAAGTTCGTGGAGAACGAGGGGAGGTAGAGACCAGACAGGGAGCCTGACGGGGCCGCCGGACACGGGAGGACAGTGGAGTAGCGAGCAAGGACAGGACCCCCAGAGGGGTCTGCCAGGGAGACCGCAACCGGCCGACTGAGCGGCGTAAGGGTGGTGCGGTCTCGAAAGAAGGAGCGAGAAGCACCCGAGTCGAGGGTGAAGGTGTGAAAGACCTGAGCCGACTCGGTACCTGAGAGAGCAGACTCACCAGCACCTAGAGCAGGAGACTCACGAGTACTTGGAGCAGCAGACTCACTAGCACCTAGAGCAGCAGCCTCAATACCAGGGTCAGGCGGAACACACACGTAACAGTCACCCTCAGCACTAATAGACACAGCATACATGGCAGCAAGAATAGCATCAAAGTCAAGATCAAAGATAGCTACCCCCGACCTGAATAGATCTCCCCAACGAGGGATCTCAGTGGCGTCCGAGAACTGGGCACGCCAGGCGTCCGTCAGGCGACCGAAGCAGCGCTGG